GTTATGCATGGATCAACGAATTTACCAACTATTTTTATAATTTTGTTAAATAAATAATAAAGGCCGGTTGAACATGGTATAATATAATTTAATTTACTAATTTAATATAATGTTGCCAAATGATATAATATCGGTTGTACATAGTATAATATAAATTAATAATTTAATAATTCTGTCAAATAATATAATAATATATTATAAATTTAATAATATAATAATATAGTTCTTTCAAATAAAACTGGTTGTACATGGTATCAACACTATATCTTTATGTATAAAATAAGATTAGACTTAAATTATTTTTAGTAATCTTTTCCCGTCATGCATTAATTATTACATAATTTTAGTATTTCTTGAGAATACGAGATAACATATCTCAGTGCATTAATTGTCAAATGCTATAGAATAACTGATTTAATAGTTAATGGATTCAATTCATGTTTTTTATGGAATCAAATATCGGGTGTGTATACACGTTTCAAATAATTTAATAATATAATAATGTGCTGAATGATTTATGCGTCGGATTCATGCAAAGAAAATTTTGAACATATTTCTAAAATCATAGTTTGTATATATCATCTATTCATCAATTGATTTTTTTTTCTACATTATCGGTTTGAAAAGAAAAACGAATTTTATATACCTTATCGGTTTTGATAATACAATGTTATAATCATTGTCATTATTTATTTTCAAAGATAATGTTTATCATTTATTTTCTTTCAAAAGATGAAATTTTTTGTATTGTTTAGTCTCTTTTTATTTATGCATTTACACAAATTAACTAAACAATTGACAACAAAATTTGTTATATATTGAATCAAACCAGCAATTAATAAAAAAAGTCCATCAATCACGAAATTAAAAAAATAACACACGATCACTACATTTAAAAGATTAAATTTTTGAGATAAACATTCATTTATGTTGTCACGATGAAAAACAAGAGTGAATGTCAGTCTTTATCGCACGTTTGCATATTCTTGAAAAAAAACATGTTTTTAGTTATGATCACTTATATATTGCAATTTCGCGTGATACAAATAGAAAATGGTTGACAATATTAATTTGTGGGAATAACAAGTTGCTCTAATCAAACTAATAATATTGTTTACAATTAGGTTTTAATAACACATGTTTTTTCAGACCCAAAGATTTTATGAGCATTTTCCGCCAAAAACATTAATTACCTACTATAGATGGAAATATTATAGAGTAATGCTACAAGTACATAATAGTGTACATAAAAGTGTACATAATACTCACATTGAGTGGGATCCACCAAAAATAAAAAATCATGTGGACCCCACACCATGTTAGAGTTATGTATACCTCTATGTACATTTATTATGTACATGTGCATTTTCCAATATTATAATATGATATAAATAAAAAATAAATTATTAATTGCATAATTTTTATATAACTCGGCTTTCGGTTTGTATTTGTTTTAGTCAATTCTTGGTTTCCTTTAAATACGTTGATAGTGGCTTTGTAGGCAAAGTGTAAATAATTATATGTAGCCGATTTTGGAATTCTCATTTATCGAGGATTTATTTTTTTAACAAATTTATCAGAATCATTGATTTGGATTAGCATATATGTTACGTACACAAAAAAAATCAATTTTATAATGATAATAAAATTTACATATGACGTCAATTTTGGAATTCTCATTTGTGAGAATTCTTATTTATTTTATCATATTTATTAGAACCAACAATTTGAATTGACATTTATATACATAAAATATAAATTTATATTGATATTTGAATATGTTGTACATTGTAGCAGATTTTGAAAATGAACGATTTTATATGAGACATATACAATTTTTTTTTAGATATAAACCAATCCCCTTAATTGATATTCTTTTTGTCAATTGTTTTTAAAAGAAAAAATTTCAAAATTTTGTAAAGTAAATCAATTTTTCGTTTTCGTATACACAAAATATAAATCTCTATATACAAAATCTATATCTATATATATAAATTTAATACATAAAAAATTGCAACACATATAATAGGAAAGTTATCCAACTAAAAGTTGTTCAGTTTGAAAATATATATAAAAAGTTCTCACACATCCAATAAAAAATTGTTCGGCTTGAAAAAATTAGCGTGAAGTAATGTCTAACCACTAATATTTTTATATTTTACATTTATTATATATAATATCTCTCATAAAATTAGCGTGATGTAATGTTTAATGTTTTGTATTATTCATACATATTTTTATAGATATAATTATTAATATTTTTTAAACTTCAATACATGTTATTCACATGTAGTATTTTGTATATTTTAAACATGATGTGTATATATGTATGGGTGCTGAATTTTTTAAAAAATGTTTTACTTATAAATAATTTAGAAAGGTGACCTCACATGTAGTATTTTGTGTATTTTAAACATGTTGTGTATATATGTATAGGCGTTGAATTTTTTTAGAACATGTTTTACTGATAAAATAATTTAGAAAGGTGACCTCACATTTTTAGGAATAATATAGAATATTTTAGATAATCTTACACATGTTGTATAACAATTTAGTGTTTTTAATATTTCAAACATACATGTTTAAGGTTCTTTTAAACAACATAAAAAACTATAAATATTTTAGTGAATATTATTTAGCTAATCAAGTATAATCAAAATTAAAGTGATAAACTAACAACTCATTTGTCCAACTGCCGTATAAATTATTATATTATAAATAGATCCATTTTAGACTTTTTTTTTAAGTTCCAGCGGCACCAATTCCTTATGATTTTGGGGCTCTATTTAACAGTCAAGGTCATTTTTTTTGCATAAAAAATATATAAATATTAGTGAATATTATTTAACTAATAAAGTATAATCGATGTTAAAATGATATGCTTGGATATAAAACTTTTTGGATTTGTTTGTATTTTTTGTTTGGTTTGGTTAATTTTGAAAAGGTGGTGTGGTTAGTTGATAGTTGGTATATTGAAATTATATTTAAAATGAAATAATTAAAGGTGATTTGGTTCAAATGTAGGATAAAGATGATTTGAAGTGATTGTTAGTTAAAATTATGCGAGTTGATGAATAGTAAATTAAAATTGATGTGGTGTATAAGAATGAGTGATTGGTATTATTTAGTTATATTGATAATATTGAAGGTAGTGAGGTTGAGTTAAATATGATTAGATTCTTTTGGATAGATTTATATCCAAGCATCCTCTAAAACAACAGCTCATTTGTCTCGCTGCCTAAGTAAATTATCATATTATAAAAAGATCCATATTAGGATTCCATTTAATTCCAGAGCACCAGTTACTTCTAATCTTAGAGTTCCATTTAAGATCACGGTCAGTCTTTATGTGCGTTGGTATAATATTAAATTGGTCTTAGCCACAATCAATTATATGTTGTTGTTGTGTGAGTATTAGATAAGAGTTGTGCATTAATGACATGTTCTTAAAAATATATATTTTTTATCACGACCAATTGTATGTTGTTGTTACGCGTGTAAGTAATAGATAAAGAAAAGTTAAGGTCAACCTTTATTGTACGTTGGCATGTTCTTACAGAAAAAAAAAAGAATTAGTCACAAATATTTATGTTGTTTGTTTCGTGTGTAAGTAATAGAAAAAGGTTGAAAATATTAGTTTCGTGGACACGAGTTGCTAAGTTATTAAACAAATAATACTGTGTACACGAAAGTTATAAATAATATATTTTTTGCCTCAGTAACAATTTATGGTTTGACAACTTCCCTACGAATTATCATTTTATTTATTAATACTTTAATTTTTAATTATTCCCAAAATAAATACAGCATGTGCATCGTACGGGTTCTATACTAGTGTTTAAGAAAGCACTATACATCATTTGTTCATAAATTAATTATGATATTATTTAAATGTTTAAGAAAGTCATTTTTAGAACTTTAGAAATTGTTTTAATGAAATTAATCAAAGAATTCAAGATATTATTTAAATGTTTAATAAAACACTAGAAATCATTTTCAGAACTTTAGAAATTGTTCTAGGGAAAAAAGTATGGAGAGATTGTTTTGTCATTTCTCATTCAAAATGGATTACCACTACTATAAATCTTGATGCGCAAGAAGCGAATGTCGAATTAATTTATTAGTAATAACAATATAATAAAATAAAAATACAAATTATCAAGTGACTGTGTTTTTTTTGCAAATTTTTATATAAAAACATATTGTAAAACTTAATAAATACAACCCACCCCTGCATTATATAAATACAAATGCCTAGTCTCAACTGAAACCCCTTTCCGTGCTAATCATAAAAAAATAATTTTGTTTTTTTTTTAAAAAAAAATGGTTGTTCTTCCCACTATCTCTCACTCAGAGTATGGAGTCCAATTTGGTCGCGGCATTCCTCAACATTTTCGCCGCATTTTGTAACGCCTAGATTTTTATTTACTATTTATGGAGCTCGAATATATTTTCATAAATATTAAGTTTCTAAATTTGATGCATTTATTATATTTATTTGCATTAAAATAAATAATTAGTAGTAAAGTCAGCCATTAAGAAGAACGTTCGAATTATTTTTCAGAAACGAGATAAAAATCCTAAGTCTGAGACTCGATTAATTATTTTTATCGAGTAGTTAGAAATTTATATTAATTAGTCGGCCCACTTTTAATTCGAGTAGTCGATTAATTTCCAATCCCAAGCGATAATTTAAATATCGAGTCCTCGTAGTATTTTAACTCCGGGCCCAATATTAATTTTCGACCCAAGTCAAATTATTACTACAAGTCGTCGTATTTTATTTAACTCAGCATTTAATATCTAACTCGATTAAACGTTAGGATTTTAAAAACCCAAGTAGCAATTTTATTTCTAGCTCAAGTCAATTTCATTAAAGCCCAAAGTTTGAGCCCAAGAAGAACCAAAAATCCGGATTTTTCTCAACATTATCTTCTTCGTCCTCTTCTTCCCAACACCTCCAAACCCTAGATCAAGCATTCACGAGTTCATCACTTTCCTCATTTTTTTCGACCAGATTTCCGGACATCCTCCGGCAACCCTAGCCGCCGGCGAGCTCCCCACGATAAACCCTTCTCACCGGCGTCCCTAACTCGCGACCACGCGCCTCCCAACTGCAGCTCGAGCTTGCCGCCGCATCCAGCCTCACCACCGCGAGTCAGTCGCACGACGCCGGACCAGCCTCGGACCTGAACCCACGCGTTTCGTCCTTCAAGCTCGCGCCTCCGGTCACCCGCGCCCAGCTCCTCTCTCGCGCCTCCTCCGCGACCGTCGAGCTCAGCCAGCCACGAACCGCACCTGGTCCACGTTGTCCCAGATTTTCCGGCGAGCACGCGCCTCAGTCCGTCGTCGAACCTCAGACCGACCCAAGCTCGCATTTCACGGCCAGCCCACCTCAGTTCCATAGCTCACGACCTCAGTCCGCCACCTCCACGAGCCGCCAGCTGCAGCCGAGCTCCTCCCGTCCACCCGCAGCTCCGACGGCCGCGCAGAGTGCCCCGCAACCCCATATGCGCGCGACCACAGCTGGACCATTTCCGCAGCCAAGCTTCCCCGCAGGCCCGCAAAGCACACCACGTTCACCCGCTGCAGTCCCTGTTCCGTTCAACCCGTTTTTCCGGCGACTTCATGCACCAAACGGCCAGCAGTAGTGACCAGCTCCACCGGGACCCGACCAGCAACATTTTCGGCCCATTTCCAGCTCCTCAGCCCGAGATCTGCGGCCCAAGCCCTTAGATCCGACCCGTCTTGATACTTTGACCATTTCTTAGCCCAATCTATTCCCGTATCGCTCGTTTTCGAACGATTTAAGGTATAATTACAAAAACTCGATTTATATGGCTTAGACATAACGATATAAACAAAAATAAGAGAAAATAATTTGTCGATATTTTGAGCAATTTCGGGAAAAAAGAGATATTCGGGCTTAAAGCTATTTTTCAGGACCTTTTAAATAATTGCGATAAAATGTTGAAATAAATACCATTAAGTTCGTTGCGTTGTTTTGAGGTTTAGGTGCGAATTTGAGAATTTTCGGACTTTGTTTGATAGGTAAACGAGCCGGTCAAATGTGTTAACCGGTCGTAGCTATATTTAGTTGACTGAGTTAGGAGTTGACTTTTGACTTGAGATGTTGATCGTGGACTATATATGTATTGTGAATGCTATGTTTCGAATTTCGTGAAATTTGGATATCGTTTGTCTTAGATTTTTTTAAAAAAATCGGGACTTTAGTCGTTAATGTGATAAATATAGATACTAGTCTGATTGAGATTTTAGCTGCAGTTGTGGATTATAAATTCATTATAAATCACACAGAAAATATATACTCCCTCCTATTCATTATAAATATCGTTTTGACTTTTTTGATTCATCCATTTTGTTATGTATCTAGACATATTAATGTCTAGATACATAATAAAATGGATGAATCGCAAAAGTCAAAACGACATTTATAATGAACAGGAGGTAGTATTAATTATCGGCCTTAAATGAGTTAGGATTTTCGAGAATCAAAACCCTAGTTTTATTCGGTGTCGGTAACCTGGTATTTTTCCGGATCCGAATATAATTGACTGAACCCTAGTACCGTCTGAATAATTTATAAATATCGTATCGTTAATTCGTAATGCGTATCGTCATCCCATACACGTGCTCGACTCTCGTCCGACCGTTAGAGCCGAACCACCGAGTGAGTGCCCGTGCACCAAGTTCACCCGATCAACCGTTTACGCGCCGTTTTCGTTAGCTGTGGTCCAAGCACGCCCCTGCGTCAGTGACCGTGGCACCGTTCCAAACCGTGCATCGGTTAAGCCGTGTCAGTAGAGTTTGTGCCGGCCCCGAGTTGCCATGCTGAACTCGGACCACGGTCAAACCGAGCTGCACATAGTCGAAGCCAATGATCGACTGGCTCTGAGTGAGTCGTCGGTCCAGTTCATCAAATCAGTCCGGGCAGTCTGGAGAGAAATTGAGTACAGTCGGATCAGTCTGGATAGCCGGACGGTTCGAGAAATTTCAGATATAAAGTGAAGAATCCAGATATATTTTAGATTTCAGTCAGATTAGATTAAGTCATATTTTAGTTCCAAACTTAGAAATATTTCAGAAAACCCTAGAATGCCTTTAAGACATAATATTTTCAAAACCAGTTCGTAAATCCCTAATTGATTTTAAAGCCAAGTGAGCGAACTTAGACAGATCAAATAATATAATTCGAGTTTTTCGGTTTAAGTTAAGTACTTAGAATATATTTTGTGCTTATATATTTTGTAGCTTGTGAATAGTCAAGCCTCCGACAGCTGCAAACCATTCAGATCTTACATTTCAGCATATCAGGTGGGGGCCATGTACTGTGTATTATATCTTCTATAATCGCAATACCATGGTTGAGGTATGTATGTGAGATTCTGCCCGAATAGGGGCAATTACCTAGCAAGTAGATCCTTTCTAGCTAGGTGAATCGAACGCTAGATAAAATGAAATAAGAATTCTAGTGCAACTTTGAGTTAAGTGAATTAAGAATCTTAGAGCAGCCTTGAATTAAGTCTAATTTCAGATGATCTTAGAACAATTCTTCCTTAAAGGACATTGATCTAGAGATAGTTTTCGTCATAACCAAGTGTTTCGAATCCCTAGTTAGTATCAAAGACTCTAGTGCAGTTGTGACTTAAGTTTCAACCTTAGAAGTGCATAAGAGTTAGTTTGCCATAATAAGTGGCAACGACCTACAAATGAGGTCCTACAGTTGTTTATCGCGAGCGTGAAGACCAAGTGTCCTTCTCGCCAATTAAGCAAACAGTTGAGCAGTAATTATAGATAGCTAGTTGAGCAACCGTTATAGACGGTATAATTACTTATACGCATTTGTGATGTGTTATAGCATATTAGATGTATGCTTAGGTTGTGATGTGCTTATCATATCAGATGTATGTTTAGTTCGCGATGTTGCAGTTATAGTTAGCCAGTTGAGCAACAACTATAGTTGGTCAGTTGAGCAGTCGTTATAGTTAGTCAGTTGATCAGCAATTATAGTCAGCCAGTCAAGCACCCATTATAGTAGTCAGTTGAGCATCAGTTGTAGTTATCCAGTCGAGCAGAAATTATAGACAGTTAGCTGAGCAGCGGTTATAGGCAGTCAGCTAAGTAGCAACTATAGATAGTTTGCCGATTTAAGTGTTTATTGGATGAATGCCTAATCTGTTGGTAAAATGTTTGTCATCATATCGTTTCTTGCCGACCCAGTAAGTAGTTCCATAAGATATGTAAAATTTGAACTAATATAATAATATTTTATCCATTAAAGTCTGATGACTCTAATGTAAAATTTTATCTATGGTATACATTAGTCTATTACAAAAATTACATTGGGGAAAAAAAGAAAAGAAAAGGGAAGAAAATAAATGAAATAATGTGTGTCCAAAATACTATTCCTCACTGGTTTTGCCTTGCAGGGCATCTGCCAAGTTAAAATTCAAATTGCCTCTCATTGTTCTTGAACCAACCCCAGGGCTACCCTTTCTCATCATCGTTGCGAATTCTCCGTAATCTATACGC